TTTGTTTTGTTTTGTTTTGTTTTGTTTGTTTTTGAGAGCAGGTCTTGCTCTGTGGCCCAGGTTGTCCCCAGCTTACGGGCTGAAGCAATCTTCCCACCTCAGCCTTCCGAGTGGGAGGCTGGGACTGCAGGTACCCTCCACCACGCGCCACTCTTAGCTCCCTTTGGACTAACTCCAAATGAACTGATCTGGGGCTAAATTGGATCTGCAAAATTCCTTTCCCTTTGCCATATCCCTTATCTAGAGTCTTGTTCTAGGTCATGCCTACACTCAAAAGCAGTCTACAGATACAAACACCAGGCGTTGGAGTCACAGATCCCAGTGGGACTCTGCACCGCACAGAGTGCATGTGGAAGAAGAGCATGCATTCACTTTTGGTGGCCACAGACAGCAGACTGTGCCAGTGGGCGGTGACTATTGTCCAGGGTATCAGGATTTGGTCGGCACAGATGTGTGGGCTACAGGAGAGAGGGCGCGAAGCGAAGGTTGCTGCTCTGCACCATAGGCAGGGTCCTTCACCAAGCTGTGTAGCAGTGAGACAGCCACATGCAGTCACTGTCATCACTGCTCACCTCTGCCATTGTGGTGCAAAAGCAGCAAAACAATACATGATCAGGTGAATTGCTATGGCTCATGGCCATACCTTGCTCACTTCTGCTTTAAGAAGACACAGGGCATATTAGGTATTTATGTGATTTATTGGGATTCAAAATGCAGCATCAGTCTTTTTGAGTCCCATATATTTTTATGAATCATATTACCTTTCTGGTTTTTTAGAAGATGGAAGGAGACATTGTGAGACTAATAAGGGAAAAGAAAAAAATGTGAAAAAAGGAAAAAAAATGGAAACAAAGTCTTTGTAAATAGGGAAAGGTGAAGGAGGGATAAAAAGAGGGTATAGCGAAAAAAAATAAGAACCAAGACCTATCATGTAAAGGTACAAGATCCCAATGAAAAATGTAACTGTATTGTTTGCTTTAAGTGTACCTATAAACAATGGGAAAAAAATAGTAACTTGTCTGTAAAAAGTAATAGTTACTTGTCTGTAAAAGTCATATTAGGTCTTGACTTTGAAATGAACAGTATTCCTGTTGAACTAAATATTTGCCCATCTCTTATTCTTTAATCATATTAAATTATTAAAATGTTTAGAGAAAATTTTACATAGCACTCAAGAAAATATGTAGAAAGCCAGGCATTGTGGTCCACACCTGTAATCCCAGAATTTGGAAAGCTGAGGAAGGAGGACTGCCACAAGTTTGAGGTCAGCAAACTTGAGACCTCGTCTCAAAAATCCAAAAGGAAAAAGAAAAAACATGTAGAAATTCAAAAAATATTGGAATACTTAAATTTATAGATGTTTTTGGAATAAGTTTATAAATCATTATGGTATTCTAATCTAGTAACATTTTTCCATCTTCAGAAAAAGTCATGAATTCGTGGTTTTTGAGAGGAAATATAAAACTATGATGCTTAGAAAAACTGAGGTGAATTTAAAGCAGTTTTTATCCTTTAAAATGCATCCAGTGAAATATTTATCTTGATTATTCTTTTTTAATGCATATATCCCATAAGAGAATAAATCTTTTCATGAATGGTAATAATGAAGTCCAAAACTTCTTTCAGTATTTGATAACAATGAAGTTAAAATGTCATGGGGTAATTGAGAAATATTTAAAGTTAAAAAATAATGCCAGGTAACCAAGAGAGTACACTTGAGACATTCCTTCTAAGTGCAGCAGGTGAACTGCCAGTCTTCGTGCTGCCCTCCTTTTCAGGTTTGGTTGACCTGGAGGCAAAGGCCCCTACCCATCACATATTCTAAGTTCTGTCACTCATTTGGGAGAGCACAACATGCTGCAGATAAGCTATGGTCTGGTGCCTGGGGAAGCAACCAGAAGTGGTAGGAAGGATCAGCTTTGGAATCAAACTGAGGGACACTTGGATCTTGGGTGCTCCACCTACCAGCTTTCTGGTTTCAAGACAAATAACTTACCCTCTCTAGCTGCAGTTTCTTCATTTAAAATGAGATATAATGTCTATCTTGTATAGTTGTACAGGATTAGAGAAATGTGTGGAAAGCTCCTGGCAGAGTCGGCGTGCAGTAACAACAGGCAGTGTTTTGCTGGTGTCTGTTCTCATTCATAGGCCTCAGCATCACTGGGAAGCTTCACTAGGTAGCAGTGGCTGTTGCTGGTCTGTTTTTGCATTCTCCCTTCTGGCACTCATGCATGTAATTAAGCCACAATCTCAAAACATTATCCATTTCACCTCGGAAAGTTTCAGGACGTCTGCCATCTGCACTGCCCATCTGCTAGCCGCATGTACTTCAGAACTCTTTATGGAATGTGCCTTGCACGTGTGTCCTGGGCTGTCCCTATGTTTTAAAGCCACACAGATCAGGAATTGTTATGCCTAATGCCTCTGTAGCACAGCTACATGCTCTACTATTCGTGTGAATACTTCAGATGCAGTGACTAGTAAATATTCTAAGTTTGAATCATTCTTCAAATATGCTGAGTGCTGTGTGTGACACCATACAAAGGGACAGTGAGGCAGGTGGTAAAACAGAATTTTCCAGGGCAAGGATAAGGGTTTATCCTGGTCAGGGTACACTGTCAAGAGGGAGGCAAGTTCTAAGAAAGAAAACATGCCTTCAGGGTGAAAAATTGGGGTTTTCTTTTAGAAAGTTTGAGGATGTGGAAACAGAGTCTAGGCAGTAGATGTGATTTTCTAAAGGATATCTTTTTCCAGATCATCTAGCACCTTTTGGAGCTTCCAGAAGCACATGCATTGTGACTAATATTGTGTGTTTGAAGTTGCAGTTTGACAATACCACTTCCTTTAGGGCTCACAAAAGGAAGGCCTTTTAGTTTCAGATAGAAATTTGTACATAATAACTTTTAGAGAAAGTAGGTCAGGGTTCCTTGGGAAGAATGAATGGGCCTTACATCAAAGATGTGTTTTTGTCTTGTGTAGGTTTGGTCAGTGCTGCTCTTTTGTCTTATGGATGCTTGGCAGGATGGCTCAGGGAGGTTTTTGCTGCTAAGTCTTTCACCTTGCATTGCCAGCGGGTAGCCACTGCAGTGAGCTTGTTTTTTCCAAACCCTTACTATTCTAATTTTCTAATTATTGGAAATGTACTGAGATTTTAATAATGTTTCTGTTTAGTTCATCAAACATGTATTGGTTGTGTGCCAAGCACTGTTGCCAGGTACAAAGACTAGGAGGATATGTAAAGCCTAGTGTGTGCTTTACACAAGGGAAGCAGACATGTAAGTATAAATATGAAGACCATGTGTGGAGTGTCATTCTAGTATGCAATCAAAACGAAGAGGCTTCAGGTATATCCTTGAAGTGCAAGAAAAGTCATGATGGTTAACTGCTCAGCCATAAAGAAAGAAGGATGAAGTTGAGTCATTTGTAGGGAAAGGGATGAACTTTGAGGACATAATGCTAAGAAAGTTAAGTCAGGCACAGAAGGTTAAATATCACATGATTTCTCTTATATGAGAAACCCCAAATATAAATAATTTAAAGAGCAAAATAAAAGATAGATGATGGGAAACAAGGAGGTAGACTGCATGGAAATGGGAAGGGAGTCTGGGATGAGGGGAGATAAGAAGCAGTGGAAGGGAAATAAAAATGATTAAGATGTGATTCATATATGTACTAATTCCCCAAGATGAATGTCATTCTTATGCATTGCAGACATACTAATAAAAAAGAAATGTAACATGTGGAATCTTAAAAAAAAATAGAGGAAAAGGGGCAAGAAATTAGAAAAGGAGGACTATTAGAGAACAGAAAGGAAATGAGAAAAAAAGAGGAAAGAGAATAATGAAGTGAAAGTAATCAGAGTATGTCCTATGTTAAAGCTAAACCTCTTACTCTGGATAATTCTATGCACTAATAAAATAAAGGCAAAAAAGTGTAACATGTCATGATGTGTGCCAAGGCTTGACTACAATGGGTGTTGCTCTGTGTTAAAATCTATGCTGTTCTAGGGGATTATGTTTTCAAATGTACTTAGAAAAATTCTGTTATCTCTTTTTAATATATTTTGAGAACAGAAAATGTTCTGATAACAGTGGAGTTAGGAGTTCCTTTCATTTTTGTGAGTTTCTCAGATGCATGGGAACTGGTACTTCTCTTATGTGACAATTTCTTTTTCATTCTGGGTCATAGAAACCTGATAAGCCTGTGGTCTAGGTTACATACTTACCAGCCTTGGCTAGACATTCTTACAGAAATAGATTTGCCTCTTTCTGAATGATAAAGCAGGTGCCAAAATATTTCTACCTGTGATACACTGAGTTCAGAGAAGCACAGCTGACTAGATCTTCACCACAGTATCCGTCCTGTTTAATTTGTTCTTCCAAGAAAGATCTTTTCAAAACATGTCTTCCTTGGACTTGAATTGACAGCATGGGTTTGCCCTGGCAGCCTCTGCCTTGAAGTAGAGCCTCTTATTTGTGGATGGGTAGGTGTCACTCCAGGTTCAAATCGTTTTCATTTTCTTTGCAGTGGTGGTTCTGTGTACAATTTGTGTACAGATGAGGATGAGGAGATGGAGCCTTCTCCTGGGAAAAATACCATTGAAAATTCAATTACTATGAATAAAATGAAGCTGCTGAAAGCAAAGATGGAGAGCATGAACCTCGGCAGAAAGGTGATGTTGTGCCAGCCAGGCTTTCTCTAGCTCACCCTGGAAGGGCTGGGTCAAAGGTGGGGAGTGGACAAAGCATTATTCATCAAAGTATCATGGAAACTGATACTTTTTTAAAGCCAAAACATGACTGAAGAAGTTGTACTGCGCCTGAAATAATTTGTGATTTTAAAAATTTTTATAGTGCTAGAACTGCAAAGGATGATGAAATACAGCTTAATCTTGCAACAGTTACTTCTTAAATTTTTTTGTTAAACCTACGGGCAGGTATTCAGCCTGTGCAAGGGCCTGGGTTCAACACCCAGTACTGCCCCCAAATCCTGTTAATATTTGCTTATTACGGATAATACTTACTTCTGTCTTTAGTAGATACTATCAGTTTTCAAAAGCAATTCTGAAATGATTAAACCAATTTACATTCTGTTCAGTAGGGAGTGAGACTTGTACCTTTGGTCGGTATTTGGCATATCCTCCTCTTTACTTTTGCCACTTGGGTATCCAGTGGCCTTGCCCTGTGGTCTTAACTTGCATCTCTCTGATGATCAGGGAGGTAGAGCATCTTTCATATGTCTGTTGGGCATGTGGATATCCTTTTCTGTCAAAACCCTGATCCAATTATTTTTTTGTTGTTATTTTTACATTTGTTTATCCACGTGTCCATCAGTGGACACTTGCCTTGCTTCTGCATCTTGGCCATTGTGAAGAATGGGGCTATAAACATGGGGTGCAAATACCACTTTGAGATCTGGCTTTCATTTCTTTTAGGATACACTAGAGGTGAAATGGCTAGAAAATATAGTAATTAGAAATGTTTAGTTTTTGGAGGAACCACCAGACTGTTTTCCATAGTATCTTTATTATTTGACATTTAAGATGGATTTTCTTACTTCTTTAAAAACTACTTTTAGGATTTTGTAGGGATTGCATGACGTCTGTAAAGCTCTAGCATTGGTGATATTGGGTAGTATTGGTGATATCCTTTTGACTAGTGACTTATTTAGAAGTGGGCTCTATAGTTTCCAAAAATGTGCAATTTTCAATACCTTTTTAATATTAATTTGCAGCATAATTTCACTGGTTGGGTAACATAATGATTTCAGTCCTTTGAAAATAGGTGAGGTTTGATTTGTGACTATGATTGCTGGTAAATGCTACTTATGGGCACCCTTGAGAAGACTGTATTTGGTCATTGTATATTACTCTCTTTTTATCTGCTGGTAGATCAGGGAAGAAGCAGGGAGGATTTTGTGTGGGGAAGTAATTTCTTATTAGGTCACACCTGCAACCCTAGCTGCTCTCAAGAGGCTGAGGCAAGAAGACTGCAAGTTCCAAGCCCATCAGGGCAATTTAGTGAGACACTGTCTCAATTAAATATGACTTGAGTTATAACTTTGTGATAGAGTACCCCAATACTGTAGGGAGAGGGTAAAAACACTCTTTTCTTTAGAAAATTGCAGGTATTTCAGTTTTTTCATTTTTGTTTTTGTTTACACTACTAAGGATTGAGCCTCGTGCCTTCACACTGAGCTAGATCCTCGGCCCTTGTATTTTTTATTTTTATTTTGAGACAGGGTCTCACTAAGCACTAAGTTGCCTAGGTGGTTGCCTTCCTCCTGCCTCTCCTGCCTCTGTCTCCTACAGTGTGGGAGCTGTTTTTAAATCATGGTTACTCTTTTAGAAGGAAAGTCTTGTTATTTACTTTTGTGTTTCTGAGATCCTTACTCTCCCCATTCTGTCTGTCTTTACCATCCTTCTCATGTTTTCAGAGGGGAGGCACCTTTCGTTCTAGTTGGGTCCTCCCCACAGCCATGCCTTTGAAATGACTTCCTTGGTCTGGGAATGATTTCTCAATTTCTTATTGCCCTTTCATCCTGGTGTCCCATGACTGATATCACAGGTCTCGCACTTTCAGTATTTTCATTACAAGTGGATTTTTTTTTCTTTTGTAGGCTTACATTCAACCTGCCTCTCCCTGTTTTTTATTTTGTTGAAGCTCAACATTCTTCTCACTACAGCTATAGGCTATACAAAAGAATCTTCTAGATTTACCTGGGGCCCTGCAAGTGCTAGACAAGTGCCCTGCCACTGACCTCATTCCCAGACCAATGAGATTTGCTTAGATTGTTACTTAATTGCAGGGGTGGTGTGTGGGGGTGTAGTAGAAATTGCATGGAGAGTTTCAGATTTAGGCAACCAGCATAATAAATCTCCACAGCCTGGAAGTCATAACCCTCACTTTTGAAGAACATTTTTCATGGATATAAAATTGGCAATGGCCCCAGCATAAAAGCAGCATCAGGAACTAGTTCAGCTTCACAAGGCCTTTCCTTCGTATCTCCTCTTATTCTCCTTGCTTCAATGCTATCTTCCACATTATCTGAAATTTCTGACAACATAGTATATTTTCTCTCCCTTGTAAGGAGGGTGTTGTGTTTTTTTATCACCAGATGCTCCTTACCATCCTAGTCTCTGCTGGCTACCATGTTGTTATGTCTTTCCTTTAATCCTCAACTTTCCCTGTAAGATCTTGAATTTTTGCAGAACTTTCATTAAAATCTTGAGCCATACTCTGGTTTCTCTTCAGATTGAATATTTTTAAAGTGGCCTTTTTAAAACCTTGAGCCACTGGGTCCAAGACCCCTCCCAGGCGTATGCTTTTCTGAGAAGAGTCATAGGAGTATAGTACATATGATATAATTGCACTGTGAACTGTACTGTCTACCTAGAATGTACCAATAAATTAAATTTTTAAAAATTTATAAAA